AGCTTTAACAGACCTCATATTCCAGTGAGACAGACAATAAATAATCAAATAATACATGATATAAATGACATAGGTCTGAGGGATAGAGAGTGATGAGAGGCAATATTTTTGAGAGGCTTGGTCAGCAGACAATGCTTTGAGGAGGTAACATTTGAGCAGAGATATAAATAAGGTGAAGATAAATTATGCAAAGATCTAGAAGGTTGTTCAAGCAGCAGGTATAGGCTCCTGGTTAGGGAGGCTGTTTACATGGTACTATTTCCTAGGATAGAATTTAATTGAAGGGACAGAATTGTGTGGGAGCAAATGAATTCTAAAGTCCTTTCTATCACTAGTGTATCAGACACGTGGTCTTGGGCATGAAACAAGTTATTTGAACCTCAATAACATTATTTGTGAATGAAAACAGTACTACCTTTCTTACCTCGTGGGAAATTTGTACCTCCAATTAGCTAAGATGGGTGAAAGTGCTTTGAAAATTCTAAAAGGTAACAATTCAAAGTGTCATTATTTACTTACTGTTGTTTCAGTTGTTTTCTGGAGGGCAAATTTTTGAAGAGGGCTTTGACATTCACCTGCTGTCAAAATCCATCATAATATTTCTTTGGGAACAAGTTGTGGATGTGCCAATATTCCTTTTTCCAAGCTTAAGGATCTGATTGGCAATCAAGTTGTGAATGTTTGTGTTCGGCTTGAAACAAGGAATATTAATCTTTTTTAAAATCTCACTCAGATGGGATGCCTCTTTTTGAGAAAATCTGCTGGTTCAAATAGAATAACTCTAGGCAAATTGCAAACATTTTTTTAGATGGAGAAACTCAAGAGCAGAGTTGAGTTGTCACAGTCTCCGCAACTTATTTTATTCCTTCTGTTCTTGTACTCCATTACACACACACACACACACACACACACACAGAAGCAATCATTATGTTGGGTTTGATGCAGTTTTTATGTGTTTCCTTCAAAATTTATGTTTGAATGTATTTTCAGTTTATGTTATGATACTGTAGACGTTTTACATTTCTGTTCTCCATAGTGTTCCCATAGATTTGGTACTTATAGCTGTAAACATTTAGTTTATCTAGATTCTAGAATGTTTAATTTTCTAGATGGTCTAATTTTCCACCTAACACTTGTGCTATGGTCTTTGCTTTAAAAAGCATCTATTTTGTAACAGTCAGGCGTTTGTCTTTGAGCCCAATTCTGGGGCTTCTTAGTATTTGTTCATCTTTTGGAGCTTAGTTGGTGAGAAGGAGTTACAAACTTGTGATAAAAATACTCATTCAATCTCAGCAAGCAATGATCTTGTTCTGTTCAGTCAGATTCCAGCTGAGCATTAAAATTACTTCCTCACTTGGGCCACTCTCCTTCTAAATGTGGAAGCTAAAGAGTTTCCTCAAATGATTTGGTATAGTCCTGTTTTCAGAAAGCTATTGCCACTGCAATAGCTTCCATGAGTCATCTCATGGAAGGAAGATTGGGCCACTTCATTCCCAGATTCAACATATTCCTATTTCCTCAATTCCCTATAATGAGTCTTATGTGGAGCCAGATGAAACTGCATTTATACAAATATATAATTGGCCAGCTGTTAAAGTGGGAGCCAGCACAAGCTTCCAAAACAGCAGAAAAAAATCCTTTCAAAAAATTTCCATTTCAGAAGTGTTATAGTTTTGTATCGAAATTTCATAAATGGAGTTTTGTACCAGAAAGAAAATGAACACCTGCAATTAATTATACCATGTAGAGCATACTGGCATGTTGCAAGACACAAGTTGAACCTTTAACCCTCTGAGTGCTTGACAGCTTCCAAGAGATAAGCAACTAACTACTTGGCATTGCTTCTCATTAGTTACCCAGCTTGGTGGCAGATTATTATACTGAAAGAGTACAATGTCCATGTGCTTCTGTGTAGTCATACAGAAATGGTTTCTGTCCTAGCACTCACTAGCTCTGTAATTATTGAATAGGACCACCAGCTCTCTTAGTCTGTTTTCCCATTTTTTATAATGGGACAAATATATCTACCACATAGCCTTAGAAAAATTACTTAAGTTAATTCATGAAATGTTCCTAACTTAATGCTTGTCAGACAGTTCTTGGTCAATAAATGTTAGTTCTATTTTTTGTTCCCCCAAGAAATAAATGGAAGAGCATATAAAAAAGATAGAAAAAAATTTTACTGCTGAGAAGAGGTGAGACTTTTATAAACTTACACTGCTCTAAGCTCGTTGTTCCTCTTTTTTTTTTTCTAGGTTTATTTATTTAAAAGGCAGAGCAACAGAGACAGATTGACACACACACACATACACAGATCTTCCATGGGCTGATCCACTTCTCAAATGGCTGCAAGATTCAGGAGGTCTGAGCCAGTTTGAAGACAAGAGCCCAGAATTCCAACCAGGTCTTGCATGTGGTTGGCAGGGGCCCAAGTACTTGGGCCATCTTCTGCTGCCTTCCTTGGATCACATTAGCAGGAAACTAGATCTAAAGCACATCAGCTAGGACTAGAATGGGCACTCCAATATGGGCTGCTGGTGGTGTAAGCAGCAACCCAATCTGCCGTACCATATTGCCTATTCCTGCATGTTGAACAGGGATTTGCAACCCATGGTCCACGGGCTAAATGCAAAGACCACAAGTGTGGGGAGCAACTGAGACTAGACTAAATTACTGGAATTAAGACTTATTCTATGCATCTGCTCTCCCACAATATGGCGCTGGGGAGGAGTAAAACTTCTACACAGCTGCCTCATCAGTTTGATAAGCTGCAGGAGCTGATCCTGCTCCTGATTGGAGGAGAGCAGCGTGCTCAGTGTGTGGGCAGCAGAGTTGGGATTGGTGGAAGAGGACTATAAAGGAGGAGAGAAACAACATGCACCAGGAACATCTGGGGGAACATCTGAAGGAACACCCGAGCAGCCCCCGAGAGAGCCGGCTGGCGGTGTGCCGCACCTCCGCGGAAGCGGGGATAGCGACGGGGGGTGCCGCCCCTCCACGGAGGTGGAGGGGCTGGCAGCCAACCTGGGAAGGACCAGCAGCAAACCCGGGAAGGGCCGAGCAGACAAAAGAACAGCGCAGGGTCCAGTGTCGTTCCTCCGCGAATTGGGGAGCGACACACAAGGCTTTATAATGTCAGCAAACTAAGAATGATTTTTACATTTTAATAGTTGAAAAAAATTTGATACTTCATGAACCATGAAAATGACATTAACCTAAAATTTCATTGTTCATAAATACAGTTGCATGGGAACACAGCCACTTACTCATTTGTGTCATCAATGATTGTTTCTATGTTCTAGTTGACAGAGTGGATGCTTTTCAACTTAGGATGTAGTTTCATCCCAATAAACATATTTTAAGGGGCCAGTGTTTTAGTGTAATATGTGGAGTTGCCACCTGCGACGCAGCCATCCAATATGTGTACCAGTTCATGTCTCAGCTGCTCTACTTCCAATCTAGCTCCCTATTAGTGATCTGAGAAAAGCAACATGTAAAACCAGCTGTTTGGGTCTCTGCCACCCAAGTGGGAGACCTGGATGAATATCCTGGCTATGAGTTTCCACATGGCTCAGCCTTGGCCATTGTGGTCATCTGGGGAATGAACCAGTGAATGAAAAGCTCTATGTGTATGTGTGTCTTTCCCCCTCCCTATGTAACTCTGACTTTCAAAATAAATAAATAAACCTTTTTTAAAAACCCACTTTAAATTGAAAATGCCATAAGTAGAAAATATACTATATAACATCATAACTTAGCCCATCCCACCTTATACATGCTCAGAACATTTACATTAGCCTATATTTGGACAAAATCATTTAACACAAAGTGTACTTTATAATAAAGTGTTAAATATCTCAAGTACACATAAAGATGGGTATTTTGTAGACAGGATAGGATACCAAAACACAAAATCAAAAAACTGTAGAGTTATAACTTGTTTCCCCTCCTTGTGACTGTGTGGCCAACTAGGAATTACAGCTGCTTCCACTGACCATCATTTCAGGAGATGTCCTAACACACATCACTAGCTTAGAAAAGATCAAAGATCCAGATTTGAAGTGCAGTTTCTACTGAATGTATGCATATTGCTTCACATAACAAAAACATCCTAAGACAAGCCATCATAAATTGGGAACTATCTGTAGTTGGCAAAAATTCTAAAATATTCATTATGTCCTTTTATTGAAAAAGTTTACCAACCCCTGATCTGGAATTTTTTATTGTATGTTCTCTTGATCCTGGGAATGGGCACAATATGGATGAACAAGAGGCAATAATCCAGAGTGGGAGCCACTTTTACAAAATGCCTTCACCTGAGGCCCTCCCAAATTTTTTACTTCTAACATAATTGCCTTTAATTTCTTATCTCCTGTCCTTACTCTTTTCCAATTAATTCCACCATCTTTGGGAGAAAAGATAGGATGCTGCTTGCTCCATGACCCTACTTCTTTAGCAAGCACACAACTGGCCTGGAATGCCTCCCTGTTTAAGCTGAGACATTAGAAGTTTATTGCAGTAATTCTGGTGTGAGGATGGAGGGTTGAACCAAGATATTTTAGTAGAGTTGGGATAAAATGGCCAGATTTCAGATATATTTTAGAGGAAAAATTAATGGGACATGATAGCCATTTCATGTGGGTGATGAGGGAGGGAGAAGAGTCTAAATGGGTTCCTGGCATCATGTCCTACCAAATGGACTTGTTTAGCTGCCCTATATCATTTCTGGATTAAGAACTGATACAGCTCTGCCCATCCTCTGCATCAGTAAAACCACAAACCCAAGGTGGAGGATTAAGATTTCATTTTACACTGCAACATATATAAAATACTATGCAAATGATTCTGTGGGGCAGGGAGGACTTAATGATGACTTACATTATTTTCTGTGTGCAAATAGATTTACAACTGATTTAGAAATGAAGTTATTGAATATAGTCTATTTATAAATTAGGGTTTCAAAGAAAAATATCTACTCACACCTAATTTGTGTTTTCCAGGCCTGTCAGAGAGTTTGCCATGCCAAGAGGAGCCAACACATTTTGCTACTGTTCCAAAGCAAATGTGATTGTTACTGGAGGTAAGGACAGATCAGGATACAGATAGATTCTTTTCATTCAGAGAGTACTTTCCTAGATTTTTTTCTGGGAATAACATTTTAGGAAATTAAAAAGCCCTTTTTGGCTTCTGGATTTGATGGTACAGTTATAAAAGCCCAAGAATATGTGAAACAATTTGCTCTATATTTTACTATAATTTGTTTTATTGTTTTGTGTTTTGGCCATAGAGCTTTAATCCATCTAGAACATATTTTATGTGTGAAGGTGTGAGTTCTTGGCCAGCGCCACGGCTCAATAGGCTAGTCCTCTGCCTGCTGCGCCAGCACCCCGGGTTCTAGTCCTGGTCGGGGCACTGGATTCTGTCCCGGTTGCCACTCTTCCAGGCCAGCTCTCTGCTGTGGCCAGGGAGTGCAGTGGAGGATGGCCCAAGTCCTTGGGCCCTGCACCCACATGGGAGACCAGGAGAAGCACCTGGCTCCTGGCTTTGGATCAGCGTGGTGTGCTGGCCATAACGCGTCAGCCGTGGTGGCCACTTGGGGAGTGAACCAATGGCAAAAGGAAGACCTTTCTCTCTGTCTCTCTTTCTCTCACTGTCCACTCTGCCTGTCTCCCCTCCCAAAAAAAAGAAGAAGAAAAAAAGAAAAGAAAGTGTGAGTTCCTGAGCTCTAAGGGAACTCTAGAGTCCCCAGCAATAGAGGTTCAGTTGTGCAAATATATGCATTTTTCTGGAGGGAAAATCAAAAATTTTGTCAAATACTCAAGAAGGTCAAGAGCTACTCATCTAGAAGCAACAAAGAAAGCCACGGCTGGGAACTCACAGAACACTGACATTTAAGAGATAAGCAAGGTAGAAGACAGGAAGCAAGGTCATCTACTGAGAGTAAAGGAAAAAATAACACTACTAGAGATTTCAGCAGAAAGGTAGCACTGAAGTATTGCTTGATGCTCAGACTCCTCATTTACCATACTGGAGTTTTAATATATTTTGTTGGCTTTGAGTCTGGGCTCTGGAGTCAGACTGTTTAGATACAAATCCTGTGTCTCTCACTTGCTAGCTGTATGGCAAGCAGGTTATTTATTCCTCTAAGCTTGAATCTCATCCACAAGTGAAGTTGAATGTAGTTCCTACTCATAAGGTTATTGTAATAGCTAAGCAAATTCAAATAAAATACTTAGCATCTTACACATAGTAAGCACACAGTACAAGTTTGCTAAGAATATCATAAACAATAAGAAAAAACCCATATACTTTGTATGTTGGTATTTAAGGTTCATTGAGATAATGTATACCTGGTATATTTCTAACAAATATTAATTGAATTTATATAAACACATAGGCAAAATCATTTTTTTCAGACTATGGAAGATCAGTTAGAATAGGATGAAATCTGAGGTTCCAATCAGGAGGCTGTTACTAATGCCCTCAGTAACGAGAGTATTTGAATTGTTCCCGTGCTATGGGGAAAGAAAAGAAAAAAATCATTCTCAAAGACATGGGAAATGGATTATACAAAAGGTCTGGAAACAGAGTGATTCTGAAGATTACTAAAGTAAATCAATCACTCCAAGTCTGCACGGTGAGAGAGAGAATAAAAGCAATTGTATTGATGGTTATGTAGAAATTAGGAAGATGTACTCACATGGAGAAGAGGAGCAAATGAAAGCCCACTTTTGGACTTCAACGTGAAGTGTTGATTACAAACCCAGGAGGAATTTCCTTTTGCTGAAAAAAAAAAAAAGCCCATTAGAAAAGTGGGACATTATGGTTCCCAGGCTGCCCACAGGGAGGAGAGGATGAGCTCCTAGGCCAGATCACCATACAGGAGACAGGAGGTGTGTAGGCTCACAGGATGTCTGTGAGCAAAACAGAAACACAGATACAAGGGAGTTGTGTTGGAGACTTGAGCTTTGGAAGAGAACAAGAAGACTTTTTTTAAAAAGAAGAAAATTCTATCATCAACAAGAAAAAAAAATCATTAAATATACCATTTGGCCAAAGAGTTAGAGAAATAATGCAAAAGAAGAGCCAAAATGTTAAATAACTAAGTGTTATTGTTTTTTTTCCTTCTAAGACTTCTTTAAATGTCTTACCTCCAAACATACCCAGCAGGCAATGTTTGGTTTCCTACCTCAAGTATCTTGATTTACCTCTGAAATATCCGTATTACAAAGTATTAGGGCAGCCAAACTTCGACTTCCTGGCTGGGTCGTTTCCCCTAAGGGAATAAATAACTTTTTCTCCATATATTATGCATCCAAAATCTTTATATAAAACAAATTATATATTTAAGTCTATACTCAGTTTTGGGCCTCCCACAATATCTATCTGAAATTAGCTTACAGTTCAAACATAATTACAAAATAATATAGCAGTCCCTTGGAAGGTACAAGTAGAAACAATGCAGAAGGTAGAGAAGCTGAGTTTCATCATCACCTGTCCATTAACCAACTGTTCAAATTTCAACAATCACTTGATCTTTCCCTGTTGCTCATTTTCCTCATCTAGCAAAATTAGGAAGTTGGACTTGGGCCTGCCTGTTCATATGCAGACTTTAAACTAAATAAACTAAATACCTCCCTGGGAAAATTCAGAATACAGTTTGTCAATGAGATGTTATTCAAATATAGTTAGAGCATTATGAATTCAGAAAAATAAGGCATCCATTGGCCACATACTTCTAAAATTCAATTAAGGACATCAAGAAAAGAAAGGAAAGGCTTGTGACTAAGAAGTCTGCAAAGTAGTACATGGGAGTCATGGCTTGGACTGGGAGCAAGTTTCCTTAACCTTGTTACTGATTATTCTAAGAATCATTCATCTTTCTAAACTGTGCATGCCAAGAATAATTACCTTTTAAAGAGCTCCCATACCTAGGTGTAAAACACACAAAGACAGATGCTAGGATTATGTTTTGAAAAAAAAAAGTGGGATGCTTCTATTATGCTTTTGTGATCCACTGCTGTCTGTTTCTGAGTTGATAACTGTCTTAACTTGAAATTAAATGAAAATGGGAACATTTCCTGGCCTCAACCACAAGTCAGAGGAAGGTGGTAGGCACTCCAGGAGATGAGGAAAAGATTTCCTGGTGTGGTGATATTCATCCAACATGGTTGAGAATCAAGTGCAGTTGGTGCTATCCACACCACTGCATGCCCTTAGTTAAAAATACTAGCCTTCTCTTTCACTTCAAGTCAAATCCTGTACACAAGACTCCCTGAGAAAGGAGAGCTTAAACATGTGGCCAAAGTGAGATTTAAGTTCTAAAATATGATGACTGTCACTTGATGCTGCACACCAAACTTGACCATCTCCTCTGGACAGCTTGCTGTTCTCACACAAAAGAAAACAAAATGTTAAGTATTGACAGTTTTCATCTACTTTGCAATCTCAGTATTTTAGTTATTTCTGGAATTAAAAATGTGTTTGTTAAAGCTCTGGGACTTAAACTACTTCAGTGTTTGTGGATTCAGGCATTTGACTCCTATTAACCTTAGTGTTCATTTCATTATAAAATTCTGATCTAGAGTTTGAAAACTAATTAATTATATGAGTTTTCTAGCTCTTTCACAAAGGTAAGAAAACACTGAGCAACATAACTGACAAGCAGCTCATACTTATCACCATGCATACTTTACTGAATTTTCAGTTATGAAGCCTCTATTAGTAGAAAATGCCAATCCCTATAACTGACAATACATTTTCTCAGGAGAATGCTCTTGTTGATTAGTCAGTCAGCCAAGCACACTGCTAAATGTACAGTATGTACCAGCTGACGACTCAAAATACACCATGAAAGCAGCTTTCTGAGGTATAGTTGAATGTGTTAAATGTACTGAGACATTTGATGGTCTTGACAAGACAGAAGCTCTTTCAAGAAAAAAAAAAAAAGCAAAACAAAACACCAAGACAGAGTATTTACCAAAAAACAACTGCTAACTTCCTGAAAGTTATTTTGGTGACCATCAAGGATTTATTACCCATAGTGTCTCCACTAGCCATTTTAAGAACTAAGCTCCTAGTATGGAAAGCCAGTGTATAAAAACAATTAATTGCCATCAAAGATGTCTTGGGAGCTTTGCAAATGCTTTTTCATCAACAATTTTTTTTTACACCACTGCTGTGGACTAGGCACCATAAATACTATAAGTATCAAGTTGTATCCTTTTTCTTCAAAAGATTCACTCAGGAGTAGGTGCTAAGCCTAGCAGTTAAGATGCTGGTTAAGATGCCTGTAACCCACACCAGACTGCCTGAATTCAATTCCCACCTCTGGCTGCTATTTCCAGCTTCCTGCCAATGCAGTCCCTGGAAAGTTAGCAAGTGATGGCTCCAGTAGTTGGGTTCCTGCTGCCCACATGCAAAATCTGGGTTTCCAGATCCTGGCTCTAGTCGGCATTGTGGGCCTTTGGGGAATGAACCAGCAGATGGTAACTCTCTGTGTCTGTCTTCTTTCTGCCTCTTAAATAAAAACAAGAATAATTCAAAGTTTCGTAGTACAAATAAGACTAGTCTATAGATAACCATACTATAACATAGAACATGAGTCAACAGATGATGATAATCATAACAATAATAATATAGATAAAATACTCTGGTCACTTAAAGCTTAGTTTCAGGTCCCTTTCTGCTCATTCTGGATCCAAAAAGCCATGACACAGACTACAGAAGGACTTCCTTACTATTGATGAAAGCAAGCAGAGATAGCGAAGTCTGGCAATACATATAGGGAAACTCTGGGAGATCAGGTTTCTTTCACAATATATGTTGGACAAAACTCTTAATTGAAGAGACTTGGACATTTCTTAGGTGGCATTCTTCTATTTTGTTTGTCATCACATGATATATAAGTTACAGATTTTCTCTGTGGACCGGTTAATCTTATCTTCCAGGAGTGATAATGCCCATTTCAACGGTTCCCCAAACCAACATTTTCTAGGACTATCTACGGGTCTGAGGTTCGAGTTCTGAACATACCTAAGTATTATGATACTTCTTGGCCATTTCCAGTGAAAAGAACATGCAGACAAGTTAATGTATTATTGGAATTATTCAGTTTGAAACATATAACTGAAAACCTGAAGGTTTTCTCTTACATATAAATATTCCACTTTGCCCTGTAATCTCACTATGGTAATTTCTCCTTCCAGAGCACACAGTCATAAAACTTTAGAGCTGAAAGAACTCTTAAAGATCACAGTTTTACAGACAAAGAAATTGAGTCCCCAGAAAAGAAGCAATGTTCCATAAGTGGTGCAACTGGTTAGATGCGGAGTTGTGGCTGAGTCAGTTCTTTGTTCCCATCCCTGTGTTCTTCCTTGACCACAGCAATTTGGTTCGCTAGAGGCTGGCTCCCTCTTGCTTTTCTCTGTGAACTGAGCCAGCTCATCTCATCAAGAGTGATGCGCTTGGATCAAGTGACTCACCAGCTGAGATAAGAGCTTGCTAAATGAAAGAACAGCTATCTTTAATGTGTGACTTTATCTAAATCCTGGCTTGTCAAAAAGAAAAAAGAAAATCAAATGGAAAATAACAAAGAAACAGTGAATTAACTCCTTATGAAAAATAACACTTTTTAAAACTTTTTATTTAAGAATTATTATTAATTTACAAAGCAAAAATTGTGAAGTTGTACAAAAATTCCCATATACCCCATACATAGTTTTCCCTTTTATTAGCATCTCATATTACTATATTTTTCACAATTAATGAGACACATCACACTTCCCCAATTTTCTTCTCTTATTTTATTTATTTATTTTTTATTTTTTGACAGGCAGAGTGGACAGTGAGAGAGAGAGATACAGAGAGAAAGGTCTTCCTTTGCCATTGGTTCACCCTCCAATGGCTGCCGCGGCTGGCGCGCTGCGGCCGGTGCACTGCGCTGATCCGATGGCAGGAGCCAGGTACTTCTCCTGGTCTCCCGTGGGGTGCAGGGCCCAAGTACTGCACTCCCTGGCCACAGCAGAGAGCTGGCCTGGAAGAGGGGCAACTGGGACAGAACCTGGCACCCCAACCGGGACTAGAACCCGGTGTGCCAGTGCCGCAAGGCGGAGGATTAGCCTAGTAAGCTGCGGCGCCGGCCCCCCAATTTTCTTTTAAACCAAAAGCCCTCTGTTCTGCTTTATTCTCCCAGTATCTAGTAATCCCCTTTCTGTGTTCAGATTGGTGGTTTAGGTTTCATTTGTGTTGAAGCTCTCCCATATGAGGGAAAATATGTTGTATTTGTCTTTCTGTGTCTAGCTTATTTCCCATAGCATGATGTCCTCCAGCTCCATTAGTTTGAAGCAAAGGACAGCATTTCGTTCTTTTTCATGGCTGAAACTATTCCATTGTGTGTATATACTATATTTCTTTTGTTTACTTATCTGATGATGAACACCTTCGTGATTCCAAATCTTATCTATTGTGAACAGTGTTGCAATGAACAAATTTATCTCTTTGATACAATGATTTCATATATTTTGGATGTATACCCAGTAATGGGATTGCTGGGTCACATGGCAGGCAATTTCTAGATTTTAAATAAATCTCCATACTGTTTTTCATAGTGGCTGTATAATTTATACTCCCACCAACAATATATGAGTTACCCATTTCTCCACATCATCGCCAGATATTTTTACTTTCTGTCTTTTTGATAATAGCCATTCTAACAGAAGCAAGGTAAGATAGCTCATTGTGGTTTTGATTTGCATTTCCCTGATGGCTAGTGATATTAAGCATTTTTTTCATATATTTGTTGACCATTTCTATCTCACCTTTTAAAAATGTCTACTCAGGTCCCTTGCCCATTTCTTAACTGGAGGTTGTTTTTGTTGCTGTTGAGTTTTTTGAGTTCCTGATATATTCTGGATATTAATCCTTTGTTAGATGAGTAGCTTGCAAACACTTTCTCCTCCCTGGTGTCTCTTCACTCTAATAATTGTTTCCTCTGAAGCTTCTGAGTTTGATATAACACCATTTGTCTGGTTTTGCTTTTGATTCCTGTGCTGTGGGGTCTTATTCAAAAAATCATTGACTAAACCAATGTCTTGAAATGTTACCCCTGTTTTCTTCTAGAAATTTCATAGTTTCAACTCTTACATTTAGGTGTTCAATCGATCTTGAGTTGATTTTTGTATATGATCCAAGATAGGGATGTAATTTCATTATTTTCTTCTATATATGTGTGTCTGGTTTTGCCAGTAACATTTATTGAAAAGAATTCCCTATCTCCAAAGTATGTTCTTGATACATTTGTCAAAAATTAGTTGGCTTGGCCGGCGCTGTGGCTCAATAGGCTAATCCTCCACCTAGCGGTGACGGCACACCAGGTTCTAGTCCCAGTCGGGGCGCCGTATTCTGTCCTGGTTGCTCCTCTTCCAGGCCAGCTCTCTGCTGTGGCCTGGGAGTGCAGAGGAGGATGGCCCAAGTGCTTGGGTCCTGCACCCCATGGGAGACCAGGTTAAGCACCTGGCTCCTGGCTTTGGATCAGCACGGTGCGCCGGCTGCAGCGCGCCGGCCACGACGGCCATTGGAGGGTGAACCAACAGCAAAGGAAGACCTTTCTCTCTGTCTCTCTCACTCACTGTCCACTCTGCCTGTCAAAAAAAAAAAAAAAAAAAAGGCAAAAAAAAAAAATCAAAGAAAGAGGTCTCTTTCTCTGAAGGGAGGAGAGAACTTCCACTTTGACTATGACCCTGTTGGAATAAGATCGAAGTTGGCGAACTCAAAAGGCTTCCATAACCTTGGCAACTCATGGCAGAGCCTAGGGAGATTACTGATGCCATAAACAAGAGTGTCAAATTGTTAAGTCAACAACAGGAGTCACTGTGTACTTACTTCTCATGTGGGATCTGTCCTTAATGTGTTGTCCAATGTGAAGTAATGCTATAGCTAGTACTGAAACAGTATTTTACACTTTGTGTTTCTGTGTGGGTGCAAACTGATGAAATCTTTACTTAATATATACTAAATCGATCTTCTGTGTATAAAGATAATTGAAAATGAATCTTGATGTGAATGGAATGGGAGAGGGAGTGGGAGATGGGAGTGGTGTGAGTGGGAGGAAAGTTATGGGGGGGGCATTGTAACCCATAAACTGTACTTTGGAAATTTATATTTACTAAATAAAAAAAAAAACAAAAATTAGTTGGCTTTAGTATGTGGATTAATTTCTGGGCTCTCTATTCCATTCCACTGATCTATGTGTTTGTTTTTATTTTAATGCCATGCTGTTTTATTTTTTAAAAAAAGATATCCATTATTTGAAAGAGGCCTGGAAAATGTAAGAAGAGAGAATATAGATTTTCTGAACAGCTAACTAACCTTTGTCATAAAACTAGACATGTGTGCATACACATATGATAAATTTTTGATTAAATATTTATTATCACCAGAGTTCTAATACATTATCAGTACAGAATTTGGTCCATCAATGTACAGAAAAAGATAAAATTAGCAGATACATGCAGGAGAAAACACTCAACAGAATTAGCTATCATAAACTTAAGTTTTTAAAAAATATATCATTTCAGGCCTATTAAAATCTTAAACATTTCCTCATGTAGGATCTCTGTCCTTAATGTGCTATACATTGTGATTTAATGCTATAACTAGTACTCAAACAGTATTTTTCACTTTGTGTTTCTATGCGGGTGCAAACTGTTGAAATCTTTACTTAATATATGCTAAACTGATCTTCTGTATATAAAGAGAATTGAAAATGAATCTTGATGTGAATGGAAGGGGGGAGGGAGAGGGAAAGGGGAGGGTTGCGGGTGGAAGGGAAGTTATGGGGGGGAAGCCATTGTAATCCATAAGCTGTACTTTGGAAATTTATATTTATTAAATAAAAATTAAAAAAAAGAAAGACCAAAAAAAGAATAGTATCTATGTTATTATAATGACTACATATAAGTTATCTACACTTATGGACATGTGCTAGAAGAGGTGGAAAAAATAAAAACATTTGATTAGTTATAATGGTGGAGACATCTGCAGCTTCCCTCTTCCTTTGATTTCTTTCATTATTATAATGTTCATGTAATTTAAGAATGTGAAAATGAAAGAAAAGCTGCCTTAAATACTTTTGGGAAGTAAATAAAGTATAAATAATACATTAATGCATGAACGAGTAGGAAAGTATTGAATCAAGAAAAGTACCCATAAAATATTTTAAGACTTCCCATTTATGTGTGTAAAAATGATTATCACAAAACAGCATTGACAGGAGCAGTAGATCCACAACTAACTAGTCTCTTAGCAAGTCAATCACAAACTGTCTGGGATTTGATAGTAAGAGCAAGAGAAGGATATGATTGAGAGGGGGACTTTTAAAACTTGATCACTTGAGAAAATCAATAATCTTTCCCTATTCTCTTTTTCAGGAGAAGATAAGGTACTCCGTCTGTGGCACCCCAACATCAGCACCAAACCAGTGGGGAAACTTGTGGGACACATGTTCAGTGTCACTGAGATTGTAACCAATGAGAAAGATCAACACGTCATCAGCCTTTCCTCTGCAAAGGTAGCATATATAGGTAGCCATGTACAGTTTTTGACTGAAGTAACTTATAGTCACTGAGAAAAATATTGTCTCTCTGGAGAAGGAGATGATGAGCCATTGTTCTGTTTCTGTAGATTAGTGCATAAGGAGCAACATGTTTAAAGATAAGTGTAAAAGGATACAGTACTGGGAAGAGAGCTAAAATTATCCTCAATAGTAAAACACAAGAGGTCTGTTCATTATAAATAGGAACATCATCATTAAAGACAAAAAAATAAAAATAAGGATTTCTGCTACTGTTGCACTTTACTTAATGGTGTTTTCAATGTTGTAGGCAATGTGATATCACAAAAAATGAACTATTAGTATTACAAAGTGGTTGAATTATGATATTTGAAAATAATGTGACTGCTTGAAAAATTCAGTAAAATCATGTTAAACATTTAGAGCAAATAAGTTCAATAAGATAGTTGGTTATAAAAGCAATTTATAAAAAATGAATTTCTAGTTTTTTCTATTTTTATTAGAAAAATAGTTAAAGGGATAGCATTTACAAGAACACAAATATGAAATACCTAATAATAATCTTAATAAGCGATAGGTACCATTTATGTAAAAGTAAGTATGAGGTTTCACTGAAGAACTTTCCTTTTAGAACATGAATAAAGAAATATGCTACATTCCTACATGGAGATCCTAGACCTTAGAGGATATTCTCCATTAAATTTATGTATACTTTCAAGGTTGGTCAGGGTTATTTAATAATCAATTTGCCAAGTTTAAAGTTAATGTAGAAATATTGATATAAAAGAATATCTTAGAAACTTTGGAAGGTTTGGTATTTTCTCTGTCATATATTAAAACATAGTATAAAACTACAATAAAGAAAACAGAGTGTTAGTTATTGTAGCAATAGCCACATCTATGAAACAGAAGAGAAAATGTACGAATTAGTAAATGTTCATTTGGTAATTTTGTATAAAATATACTTAAAAATTTTCTGTATATGGGTGAAATGGTCATTTCTCCATTCAATCATTATTTATAGCTGTTGTCTATATTCCCACTAAACTAGGGTCTTTGTGATTTGCTTTACACCTGTTATCATTTAAGTTTCTTATTCAGTGAAGTATTAAGTCTTTTAACTGTAATTTTAATTTAAAATCTGTTATTTCAAAAACACACAAAGGAGAAGGAAGGAGAGTAGGAAGGAGAAAGTAGGAAGGAAGAAGTAAATATTATGTTCTTAGAATTGTATCTGCAATCGCCCTCTTCCAGGCCAGCTCTCTGCTGTGGCCCAGGAGTGCAGTGGAGGATGGCCCAAGTACTTGGGCCCTGCACCCCATGGGAGACCAGCATAAGTACCTGGCTCCTGCCATCGGATCAGCGCGGGCACTGGCCGCAGCGCGCCGGCCGCGGCGGCCATTGGAGGGTGAACCAACGGCAAAGGAAGACCTTTCTCTCTGTCTCTCTCTCTCACTGTCCACTCTGCCTGTCAAAAAATTAAAAAAAATAAATAAAAATAAAAAAAAGTTAAATCAAAAAATAAAAAAGAAATACAAGGGTACTTCAAAAACTTCATGGAAAATATAATTAAGATATTTTTATTTTGGTGCAAAAAGTTTTTAAACCTATGCATAGTGTATGAACTTTTTGAAGAACTCTTTTATGCATGGTATTCAAAAATTTTTGCATTGAAAGAAACATCTTTTAATTCCAAAAAAAAAAATAAAAAAGTAGCCTTTCAAGTCTATAAGCAAAGGATTGTTTGTCTAATAAATGCTGGGAAAAGTGATTAAACATATAGAAAAAATTATGTAATCTGATCATTACATCATAATATGTAGCAAAATTCCTGGTGGATTAAAAATTTTAAATATAAAACCAGAGAATTTCCAGAATTTATGATGGTGGATTTTCATATAACTTTTATATAACTAACATTCATATAACTGGTAATTCCTAAGCATAGCACCTGTAGCTAAAGGAAAAATAAATATACCTATTTAACACTCAAACTTTCCATAAATTATAATACATATGATGTATCTTATGTTTACTAAGTGTCAGATAATGTACTACTAAGTATTTTATATATACACCTCACTTGATTCTAATAACTGTCCTATAAAGTAATTATATCAAGATTACACTTGTGAAGGAAAATCACATCTAAGTAACTTGTACAGGGTCACACAGCTACCTAGTTGCTAAGTGTAGCCTATCCTATTTCTGATTCTACCCCAGACTGCCTCCCTAATATTCATAAACAAAGCTAAAGACAGAGGCAGAGTAGTCAAAAATTCAATAAAGATGACAGAAATGGGAATTATATCCTTAGACAAACAAATAACATCCACAATCAAGAGAAATAATAAGAGGAATGGGGAGAGGTAAATGTATAAGAACACAGCTTTTTTTTTTTTTTGAGAGGCAGAGACAGAGACAGAGAATGCATGCTTTTACAACAGAGGAGCTTCTTAATTTTAAAAATAGGAATGAAAAGACAGTGAAAGTTTTGAGATACTAAAACATTCTGAATTTAGTCTCCTCTTGAAAATTTAAAGAAAAATAAGGTATCTTTCCAGCAAAAGTGGAGATCATTCATCCTAAGTAAAGCAACAGAGACAACATTTCCTATTTCTTTTAAATGTATTGGACATGGAAAGATGATTTTCATTTGCACGTCCTAACAGCTCTATTCGGCAAATTACTTGTTATCTTTCACTTGGTTTCTTCATCTGTAAAATGTAGAAGTGCTTAGCCCAGAGGGTTGTTATAATGATGAAACATTCACAGCAAACATTTATTTCTTTAGTGTCTATATGACAGGGCTATTTGGGTTTTACAGAGAAAGTATCCAACAAGGACAAGAGTCCTGAGGGAGCTTAGTTCCTAGAAGAGAGACACAAAGTAACAAATGTATATAAGAGATAAGTATGTTAAGAATTATACAAAATGGCTGGTGCTGTGGCTCATTTGGCTAATCCTCCGCCTGTGGCACTAGTACCCCGGGTACTAGTCCCGGTTGGGGCGCCAGGTTCTGTCCCAGTTGCTCCTCTTCCAGTCCAGCTCTCTGCTGTGGCCCGGGAAGGCAGTGGAGGATGGCCCAAGTGCTTGGGCCCTGCACCCACATGGGAGACCAGGAGAAAGAACCCGGCTCCTGGTTTCGGATCGGCGCAGTGCGCCGGCTGTAACAGCCACTGGGGGGTGAACCAATGGAAGGAAGACCTATCTCTCTCTCTCTCTCTCTGTCTAACTCTGCCTGTCAAAAAAAAAAAAAAAAAAGATTCATCAGGAATTACTACAAAGAACTGTATGCCAACAAATTTGGAAAGCTAAAAGAAATGAATAGGTTCCTAGACGTCTGCAATCTACCAAAATTGAGTCATGAAGACATAGAAACAGACCAATAACCACGATGGAAATTGAATCAGTAATAATGACCCTCTCAACAAAGAAAAGCCCATGCCTAGGCAGCTTCACTCCTGAATTCTACCAGACTTTGAAAGAGGAACTAATTCCATTTCCTCTCAAGCTAATCAAAACAACTGAAAGGGAGGGAATCCTTCTATGAAGGCTGCATCACCTTAGTTCCTAAGCCAGAAAAAGATAACAACAGAGAAAGAGAACTATAGACCAATATCCTGAGGAATATAAATTTAAAAATCGTCATCAAAATATTAGCTAATCGAATCCAATGATACATCAGAAAGATCATTCACTCGGACCAACTGAGATTTATCTTTGGTATGCAGGGATGTTTCAATATTTGCAAATCAATCAATGTGATACTTCATATTCAGAAACTTAAGAACAAAAACCCTATGGTTACCTCAATAGATGCTGAGCAAGCATTTGATAAAACACAACCGTCTTTCATGATGAAAACCTTAAGAAAATTGGGTATAGAAGGAACATTCCTCAGCACAATCAGGACAATTTATGATAAACCCATGACCAGCATCCTACTGAATGAGGAAAAGTTGGAAGCCATTCCCCTGAAGATCCAGAACCAGACAAGGATGCCCACTCTCACCATTGCTATTCAATATAGTCCTGGAAGTTTTAGCCAGAGCCATTAGGCAAGAAAAAAGATCAAAGGGATACAGATTGGAAAGGAAGATATCAAACTACCCTTATTTGCAGATGACATTATTCTATGTTTAGAGGATCCAAAAAACTCCACTGAGAGACTATCGGAACTCATAAGAGTTTGTTAAAGTGGCAGGATATAAAATTAACATGGAATAATCAATAGCCTTCATATACACAGACAATGTCATGGCTGAGAAAGAACTTTGCAGACCAGTCCCATTCACAATAGCTCCAAAAATTAAATACTGTGGAATAAATTTAACCAAGGATGTCAAAGATCTCTACAATGAAAATTATAAAACACTAAAGAAACAAATAGAGGAAGACATTAAAAAATGGAAAAATCTTCCATGTTCATGGATTGAAAGAATCAAAATGTCCATATTACCAAAAGCAATTTATAGATTTAATGAGATCCCCTTCAAAATACCATGATATTCTTTGTAGATCTAGAAAAAAATTATAATAAAATTCATATGGAAACACAAGAGACCCCAAATAGCTAAGTTAATCTTAGAAAACCAAAACAAAGCCAGAGGCATCACAATACAGTATTTCAAGACATACTGCAGGGCAATTAAAATCAAAACAGCCTGGTACTGGCACAAAAGCTTAAGCTTGAATGATAAGAGCTAACCTCGTGAAGATTTGTAAAAGGGCAACTTAGGTAAAAAGAACAGATAAACTGGCACATTTATTTTTGCTGAAATTATAATTTATTGTTTTTAATTTTTAAAAAAAGATAAGTCTTTCACATGTAGCCTTCCTTCAAAGTGCTTCATACAAATTTCATCACACCAAGCTTAGTAAAGCACTGTGCTAAATTGGGTGCAAAGCTACATGCCCTCTTGTATACTCTTTTTTTCCCATTTTTTTAACTTTTATTTAATGAATATAAATTTCCAAAGTACAGAATATTGATT